CCACCCCCCAAACAGCACAGGCATGTTGAGCCCAGCGCTGATTCCCTGCTCCTCCATCCTTCCCTTGAGTCCAGCACCGGATTCCTGGCACACACACCCCTTCTCCTGAAGGCCCAGTGCCCCCACCCGCCTGCTCCACCCTCACTACATCTCTGCCAGGAGCCCTACATTTTGCCTGAGGCTATTCAAAGTTGGAATTGTGATGATGACTGTATGAGACTCCTCCTTCCTCTCATCTTTTATTAGAAATAGCAAGATCTTTGAGCAACATCTGGAAAAGAGCAGGTCAATAGCAGTTTCTTAAGTGTCACTCTTGTGTTTGCACTGCTCTCAAATAAAATAAAACATTTTTACTATATTGTGCTGCTATATTGGCTCATGAGAGATGTTCAGCTGAATTCTGCTACTCTAATCACCTGTTAATTACAAATGCCATCTTCAACATCCCAAATGTTGTCACCTGATGGTGTAACCTTCACGTGTGTAACAACCAAACTGATTAACAGTACAGCAATTCCAGAGATCCAGTGAATAAAGATTTCCCCAAATGCATGCAATCTGAAGTGGGTTAGACAGTTAAGTTATGATTGTATAAATCCACTAAAATTGAATTTGTCAATTCTCACTGATTCTAGACATCTTCTCCAGAATAGACTTAGAACAGGCAAAAAAAAACCAGTGAATTTTGGAATAGAACAATATTACATGCTTTGGCAGTGTGTTAAACACTGACTTCCTGGAATATTATGCTTATCTGCACCATGGGATTGGAAAGGTGTTTGAGCTGGTGGGAGAATAAGTGAAAGGAATACAAGGAACTGGGCAAACACATTCAAATTTAGACAAGAAAACTAAATTTAGAACAGTGTCTGCACCTTCAATATTATAAAAAGTAACACAATGTATGTTCAGTGGCCAGACTTACCAAAAGCTTTTTTCCCCTCCTTCTACCAAACAGATCAACAGTGTGGTGGCGAAGTTCTTGCTGAGGTGGAGAAGTTAGTGTTATGCTTAAGCACATGGCATCTTTTCAGGGGAAAAGGCCATACAAAATTTGAATACAGAGCAAAAAAGCACATGGGTTCATTTATTTCTATAGACATTGTCAGTCTGTTGCTCTAATTAACCTAGGAACCAGTTAGGCTGAAAGAGGGAAGAGTTGGGCTTTATTGGTCTGGACCGATGCTCAAGATTTTGGAGGGACTGAATCCAGAGAACCATTGCAAAGTTGCCCCCTCTTAGTCTTTAGCTCCCATATAAGTCTGCAGAGTCATGCTGCAATAGTCATATTTACACCAGCATTGATCTTTAACTTTTTTCCTGTACTTTGAGTGTTTGTTCTTTTAAGGAGTTGCCCTGTAGGGTCAGTTTATTTGCCCACTCGTAAGGATTGGGGGCACTTCACCTTTTGGTCCTCAATTTGATGGGAATGTTATTTGACCTTCCAGTGCCTCCGAAGATCATGACTCTCTCTCTTTAGTACATTTGATTCTAAAAACCACCTTCAAACTTATGTAACACGTTCTTCACTCATACACAGTGTCACTACAAAGTACAGGATTATTTGTATTACAATTGACGGAATTCTACAGCTGTTGCTTACATCAACAAATGTTATACCAAATGGGTAACCATAAATGTCACCTACATCAGCAAACCTTATAACACCTGGTGACCATAATCGGTCACTAGGACCATTCTGGTCTCTTCTGCCTTTATGTCACTGACAAGCATGAACAGCCTGCATGATGCATCTTTACCAATAGTTATTCCTTTCTGCTAGTCAAAAAGGGTGGCTGGCAAACATTACAACATTTTTTTATTTTACTATTGCTAGCACTTGGTACTGTTGTAAGGATTCATTTGAATGTCTTACCACATCTAGCCTTAATACAGGATGACAAAGTAGAGGGCTACAACAATCGATACTATGAGGGGAAGCGATTAATTCTCTTGAAAAATGAAGCCTGGAAAAGAACTAGGGATAGATGTGTCTGTAGAATTGTTCAAAGTGATTGGCAAATGCAGTAATTATATGGGGAAAATTAATGATGTATGACATGCTCGAAAATGGCTAGGGGACCGTCTGAATTTTTTTCTGTCCTTATCAAAGAACGGCAGTATAAAAATTCTCGATTGTAATATTTCCCTGATATAGCACAAGAACTTCTGCTAATCTAGGATTGCATCGGGAGAAAAATCAGCAGAATCATTACCACAACAAACTAGTTTCAGAGCAGGCTAAGACACATGATTGAATTCCAAATACCTATCGCATGATTTGCACGATGCAGAGTGACCTGTCACCCACTGATCATGTGCTTTGTTGACTAATGAAAAGTCTGATGCTGTCCAACATGTCTGTTTAGAAGATACTGGTGGTCATGGGGAATCTACAGAATGTCACTGAATTCATTGCAGATCTCAACCAACAGACCATAGTACAGTGGTCCCTGACACTGTGCCCCCCG